CCCCCTCTCCGTAGGTCTGGGTGGCAGCATATCTCAACTCGATTCAGTGTGACAATATTGTTTGGCTATCATTCGCTGCTTTAGGGTGAATGGCATCGATCCTCTTTTAACAACATTTGTTTCCTATTGTGTTCGGGGGTGCAGCAGAGGAGGGCAGACGTGTGAAAGTGGCTGTTTGATTCTCTTTTTCATCCCCATGACCTCAGCTTTTGTGTCTCGTCACCCTGGGAATGTCACGCCTCACTACTCTACTTTAAGATGTTTCAGAAAGTGCCCTTTGTTTTCGCTCCTCTTTTTTTTGAAAGCTCACACAAAATTGTTCTTGGTCCCCCTCCTGCTATAAAGGATACTTCAGGCTGAGGCACGGTTCACAAGTGCAATGCAATTTGGCTTATCCCAACCTTTGTTCGGGTTTCTACAAATGACCAAACATAGTGCAGACTTGATCTACTGCTGCTTGAACTCAGGAGTTTGGGAGCAGCTAAAAACCCTATTCAGATTCAGAGTCATGGTGGTATTTTCAGTGTGTGCATTCGACGGGGACAAAAGGTCTACCAATATCCCATAACCCTGAAGCTCAAAAAGCCACTCCGTCTGTGTGTGAGAGGAGAGGGGGAAAAAAACTCTTACTGCTCCTCTGTGGCTCGGCTGGTTAATGTGAGTGTTGCGGGTTAACTTGCAAAGCACTAACTTGTCGTGGCAGGGCAAACATGAACAAATAAAAGTGAGAAAGATCAGTTATATCAGAAGTTAAGAATCGTGCGTAAAAATTGTAAGTATTCTGTGACTTTCAAAGGAATTGCTGCATGCTTTAGTGTTTGCAGTTCAATTTTAATAGCTCATAATCACATTTCAAAATTTTTGCACGTAACAAAGGCAGTCTGACTGCTTTGCGCAGAGCATATTCATCTCAGCGAATCCCAATAATAGGCTATATTTATTTTTAAATGAATGAATGAATGGGCTGGATGTCAGAAGATGTTTGGTACTTGGCAGTGTGTTGTCATTATTCGCGGTGTTTGAGATGGGTCGAATTGGCCACTTCCTTTTTGGACAAAACCTTTTCAGCTGAACATTAATGGGAAATGACAGGTGTTAAAAGGCACTCTGCAGGGGGAAAAAAAGTCATGGAACTGCACGATGGAAGTTTTAGACTTGACAGTAAAGAAATGGACTTTTTCCAATTTATATATTTTTCTCGAACTCTCATAATATGATGTATAAAATACATTATTATAGTTAGCTAATATCTATGAAATAGCCTATACCTTTTCTTCTTTTTTTTGCATAGATTCAGGGTTTCAGATTGTTAAACAGTGCTTATACAGCAGGGAGGACGCTCCTGGTTTCTGGGTGAAAATAGCTCGGTGTCCCCCGCAATGCGATTCTTTTCGTAATCCGTCAGACTGGTGATGGGGTGCATTGTGGATTTATGGGGGGAAATTAGCATAAATTATGAGCAAATCTGCGTGTGCGTGTGTGTGGTCCCTGCATTGCAAACCCTCCAAGCGGAAAGGTGGCCCTGGCCAAAAGCTTGAATAGCAATAGCTCAAAATAGGCTTCCCATTTGGTTTTCACATTCATATAATTGACTTATGGATATTTTATACAGTTTTCACCACACCATCCTGAAGGGTTTATTTGCATTTCTGAAGTACTTTCCAATCTTATTTACATAAATACAATAGACCTGACTGCCTCATGAAGTTTCAGTTTGAACAGCGTTGTTTACATTGTGTTGATGTTTTCATATCATCTACTTCCTCTGCGCAGCTCAGGGCGAAATTAGCTGAGAAAAACTAATAGTCGGCTCATGAACAAATTTGCTCATGGCAAATTATTTTGTATGGCATTTCGTAAACAATATTAGGCTTTAATTAGGGGAAGCGAAATGTGTTTTTGCAACATTTTATCTGTAAAATAAGTTTTAATTCAAATCCACACCATACAAAATGGTTATTAGCGTGCATAAAACACTTAATGGAAAACTGCACTCATTACACACACCACTACACAAACAGGAGTATTCTTTAATTAATCCACGTCTAAATCAAATACAATATACACCTGCCTCAACAACAGCACATATGGTTAAAAGACAGTTTCATTACAAAATATCATTAAATTACAATAGAACGTGTCCGTTCAAATTCCAAATATATACACTCGTGAATTGTAACTGTACAGTCCACTGAATAAGTATTAGCGCATACCTTCACACACTGAGTGTCATCGCAGTTCAATTCCGGTTGCCGAGCCTTTTCACCCCTTTTTCTGTCTTCAAATGGAAATGATTTCCATTGGCCCAAGGTGTCCATGTAAATAGGTGTAAATGAAACCAGATTATGCCTTCCTCCCAGCCCCCTCCTCCCATGGCAATTGTCATGTGATAGCAAAGAGGTGGCACATTAATGGAGCGCCTCTACGGGGGTCTTTTCTGCTCATGTCACTACATAAAACTATCAGATGGTTAGAGGAAGGCCATGGAGGCATCCACTTAGCTCGTCTTATCAAGGACGCCAAATGAAATCTATTCAGCTCTGCTAGTGGGACGATCTGACTTACTTTGGCAGAAAGACTTACAGCAGCCGTCACTCCATAAATGTGCACCGTCCGCCCGCCTGCACACTGCAGAGGCGCTCAATCTAGCTGTTTTACGCACAACGCAACTCCAGCATTGTCGGTGTTGAAACTTTCCTCGGCGGGTTTTTTTTTCATGAAGAGCGGCAAGCTTTCGTCAAGGAATTAAGGGAGACTACTTTTTTATTGCTTTTCTGAAAATATCGAGGATGCCTCGCCCAGGGAGAAACACGTACAGCGACCAGAAGCCACCTTACTCCTACATCTCCCTCACTGCCATGGCGATCCAGAGCTGCTCAGAGAAGATGCTGCCTCTCAGTGAAATTTACAAGTTCATCATGGATAGATTCCCTTATTATAGAGAAAACACTCAGCGGTGGCAAAACTCTCTGCGACACAACCTGTCCTTCAACGACTGTTTCATTAAAATCCCCCGGCGCCCAGATCAGCCGGGCAAGGGCAGTTTCTGGGCTCTGCACCCCAGCTGCGGGGACATGTTTGAGAATGGAAGTTTCTTGAGACGGCGCAAAAGGTTCAAACTGTTGATGTCAACTGATCATTTGGTCCAGAATAAGCAGTCGGATGCTGCCCATTACCTCCAGCAGCAAGCCAAACTGAGACTGAGCGCCCTGGCAGCCACTGGCACACACCTTCCCCAAATGTCAACTTACAACCTCGGAGTGTCTCAGTCCTCAACTTTTAAGCATCCGTTCGCCATCGAGAACATCATCGCCAGAGAGTACAAGGTCCCGGGGAGTCTGGCGTTCTCCACCATGCAGTCCATGTCTGCCGGGTATCCGCTCCACAACCAGCTGACGACAGCCTGGCCCCACATGTACAACACCAGCATGATTGACACGGTGGCCCCGATCTCCATGGCAAGTAGCGACTACAGTGCTTATGGCATGCCCATCAAGTCCCTGTGTCACGGGGGACAGTCCCTACCGGCTATCCCTATGCCAATCAAGCCCACCCCGACTTCCATGGCCGGTTTCTCGGCGTTACCTCCACACATTCCCGCGTTTCTATCAAACTCTCCACAGTCGCTGAGCCCGACGTCCCCACAGACAGCGACGAGCCAAAGCAGCCCTGCAACCCCGAGCGAGACTCTGACGAGCCCCTCCACACTGCAGTCTGTGGCTGTGCACTGACCAGCTGAACTTTCCCATGTAAACGAACTGCTGGCCGGCTCCCAGGCCCCTTTATCAATCCCAAAGTTTATATTTTCTGTCGTCGGAAACTATCAAGGCGAGTTGCAGTTGCATATCGAATTATTTGTGTATGTGTCGAATGTGTCGCTTTAAATTGTGTCATAGAAGTCCAGCACAGAATCGCACAGCGAAGTATTGCTCTTGAAAATATAAATTATTTGATAGTTCTATTTTTCAGTTTATTGTGAAATGTGAGTGTTGGAAGTGGTGCCACAGATGGGGATCCAGGGGACGTTTGTTTTGGCACCATCAACTCTGATTTAAAGTGCTTGCAATTTCCGTGGCAGTTTTTCAGTTGTATCAAATAGCAAAACGTTTGCACCGTTTCTGTGTGACCACTGTAATGTCAATGAAATTGCGAGGCAATGGCTCTGTGTTTTTGTTTGCTTTTTAATACTGGAATGATGGATAAGGGTATACCAAATAGGAATAGGATTTAGATTTGTTCTTACCATCCCTGTAAAAAAGAAAGCAAAATGAGTTATCATATCTTTTCAAACTGGAAAAGTAGTATGAGACGTCCTCAAAATGCAAGATGTGAATATTGCAAATAACTGATACTGAAATGTTGTAAAATGCACTTTTTAGTTTTATGTTTTAGATATCTATTTTCCAGAAAATGTTCTGTGAAGCATTTAATTTAAAAGGCTGTGGTGACCATGTGTATCAGATGCTGTAAATTTGTACTTTTGTTTTTTAGGTAAAAGCATGCATTCAAAAACATTTGTGTTGGTACTGTTGTTGTTATTGTTGTTGTTTTGTTTTTGTTTGATTATTTTTTGCAAGCATGCGTGCTTTCGAAAAGTGTGCAAACAGTCTGCAATGAGTTGAAAAACAAAATGGTCATCGAAATATTTTCTCATTAAAAGTGAAGTAAACAATCAAAAATGTTTCTGAAGATTTAATCTAAGACGATGTTAAATGTCATTATTATTAAATTGGCAAAAAAACCTTTTAGGATATCATACATTAATTTTAACACAATATTAATATCGTCAAATAATAATAATATTATTAATAATAATAATATTATTATTACTACTAATAATAGTAGTAGTACTACTTTGATTTGTCGTGTATTCAGGCCTATTTCAGAGTGTTGAAGAGAAGCGGTGGGGAGAGAAATGAATCGTGCAGTCGATTAGGATGCATGGAGTTGCGATGCCATGGTCACAGCGCAGACAACTGAGCTCATTCATCAAGCTGTGGGCTAAACACAATTAAGCCCAACAATAAACATTTAGTAAAGCTGCACACAGTGTCCAAATCAATGTTGTTGCATACTTTTGCCTCCAAAAGTCACAGAGCGCTATTAAAAAAGTGCCAGGCAGATTTATTTTCAAATGTTTCGACCTTATAATGTTTTCCTAGTCGGGCAGACTTAATTCAACAGGTTTCTAAATAAAGAGGGAGAAATATCTGCAAAATATATTTTTCATTCTATTATTCGATTTCTTTTCAGGATAAAAACAATAACGCGCTTTAACTGCCTCCCCTATAGAAAGCAGCAGCCTATTTCGGGGTATTAAACAAATACATTAGAATTCCGTCACTTTATACAATCGAGTAGATCAAATAAAGGGTCTCGGGCCACTTCATTCTCCCTCATTCACTTGAATTGAAAGTGCAAAGAATAGCAAACTTAGACTGGGCCACCGATGTAGATTTAGCCTTTTTCCAGCAAGACAAAAAGACTGATTTTCACAAACACATTGCTGACTCGGGAACTAGGAAACGAGCTGCAAGACTCTTTTGGAATTTAAATCCACCCCTCCCCCATGGACTGTTTGGACAACAGTGTTAGTTTTTTTTTTCTCCTCACTTTGTGCATTTGTGTGTGTAACGTTCATTCTGACTCTGGATGATTAAATGTATTGACACTGCAACGGCAGATTACAAGCTTTAATTTTGAATCAGATAGAATTTTTCTGGCTGGTCATTACAATTACATTCAAACCACATTAACACACATATGGAACTTTTTCTTTTAAGCACATTAAAGCAATGAATCCAGCCACTGAAAAAAATATGTAACAACAATATATATTTACTACACATTTAAACTTTCCATTAGGTTGGATTTCAGTGTACTTTGTCTTATTTGGTATATATTGCACTGTTATAAATAAAATGTTAATGTAATATATATTGATGAATGTCTGGAAGGAACTTTTGTGAACAAGAAGTCATTCATTGTACATTTATCCCAGAATGTGAAATGTATAAAATTAACAAAAAGTGTTCATTTGATGTATTATGTTCTGCACTGGAGCAGAAACGCAACATTTAAATTGCAACATCCTGCCTTTAATTATGTTTCAAGATGCAGTGTATTGGGCAGATGTTCCATGAAAATATTTAAAATGTTGCCCTTCAATGCAATGAAGTCCGTATAGAAAAAGGGCTTTATTTGGCTGTTCATTAATAAATAAACACCTTTAGCTTTTCCACCACAAAATGTTCAAATGAGCCAATGAATTTAACCCCTACAAGAGAAGGTGTGAAACCACAGGTTACAGGTGGGAGAGAGAGGAAACACAATATTTGACATCACCATAGGAAACTCATCTGACACCTGATTTGGCAAACATCATTTTTTTCTGAATACAACCTTAAAACAATAACTGTTCCTGACACCAATAGATTTCTTTGTCTCCAAACATTATCCCAGAGTTTTACCTCCTATAGCATTTATTTCTTTTCATATTACAAATAAAATCTGTTCTCGCTAATCCAGCCTATTATACAGATGATGTTTTCCATATTTTCGGCAACATCGGTATGAACTCAGTTTTATAAAGCAAGTCTGCCTTGTCCTTGTTCTCTCAACTATGTTCCACTTAGACAAAGAAGAAGGTCATCGTAGGCAGGGGATGAAATATAGACCACATGCAAAACCCCAATGTTGTAGTTTAATTAAAATAATTCATTAAAGTGGAGGCCCAAGGTAATTAGCATGTATAATTTATGATTTGCTTAATGCATGCAGGCAGTGGCCTCCGCAATAAACTCAACTTAACCTCAAGTAGGGAGCTGATACGGACAGGGTGCTGTTATTTACTATGTGTTTATTGTTTGGATATTTGTCAAGAGGAAGCAAGTGTTTCATAAAACCCTGGCCGTTATCTGGCTTCCACGGCACACAAACAACTTATTTGTTTATGAGTATATCTTGTGGATTTATGGTCACTCATAAGAGAAGCTGTCCGGTTTGTTGTGAGGGAGAGATATTGAGCATTGCCCTCACTTTTTCACTCTATCTGACGTCTATGTTTACGGTTACGGTTTACTGGTCACTGTAGTGTTGAACAATAGTTTATGCTGGCTTTTTTGAGCTGACAGAATGAGGACATGGACAAACACCACAAGCAGACAGACTGTCAATGCTGACTTTTAGAGGAAGCAAAATAATCAGCGATAGACAAAACTTGCATTAATTATGCTCCGCAAATGTGTCAATCCTTGACAAGCCTTTTGACATTTTGAAACGTGGCTAGTGGCTATATTTTATTATTTCTTGCAAGTACTTTTTTTTATTTTTTATAAAAACAACAAAGTAAAACAAATATTTTCAGATGGCGCTGTGGACCATGGTAAACAGATTTGTCTTAGTGGTAAATAGAGCAGCTTGGTGCTCTCCTGACAGGTGGGAGAGGAGCTATATCTTCTGAGATACTATCATTCTTTTAAACCTGTTCGTACAAACCATACACAATATAATCATACCAGTAAATCTTACCATTGGTAAGGTTTAGTCAGAGATCATAACTCTGTTTTACTTGATGTCACAACAAATGGTACAGTGTGGGAATAATATTCCACAAGTGAAATCCTCACGGTGCACATCATCATTATGAGACTACATGGTTTACTCATCAGTCATAATGTGTGACCCCCAGGTTAACTACATTGCATGGCTGTGTCGGAGGGCAAAGGGCAGGTATAGTGGGCTGGAGGGAGAGGCAGGGGGATGCAGCAGCATTCAGGGCTGGCTCAGCCAAACACCCATGTGTGCATGAAATTAGAGTGTCAACATCTGATTCATGCTGCTGGGTGGTGACTGTGAAACAAATTATGTCAGCGGGTGGCAGCGGCGAAATTCCACTGACGGTGGCTACGTGGAAGTTGAGGCGAGCTGTAGATTCTATTTCATAAACTGTGATGAAACTTTTTTACGTGATAAAGTTTAAGGCTCTCAGCTCAATGCTCCAGCTCAACAAAAAATATATTTTTTAATCTCTTTTAATGTGTTTTCAATGGATTCTTGAGCTGCAGACGATGAAATTTAAGTTATCTGATGGAAGTGGGCGTCGTAAAGAAGACTGGTTCCAGGAAATGGGGTGATCATTTTCTGTAAGATAAGGATTCACATTGTTGCAGGCAGGGTGTGAGGTGCAATGAAAGAGTTCCTACTCTACCATTGTCAGCAGAAAAACAAGACTCATATAATTCCAAATGCAGGAAACATTACAATTCTTTGAAATGTAATTTTAAGTGGAAATACATTTTGCAAACAGTAATCCTTCCTCTGATGCTCTTAATCCTTTTATTCACTGTTTCTGTGGCTGTTTCCCAAGCTGAATACAGTGTCTTTGGACAGAGAATACATGTTGTGCAGATTGTAAAACCTTTTGAGGCAAATTTGTAATTTTCAGCTATATAAATAAACTAAATTAACTTGACTTTACTAATAACATTAGATGTGGTATTAATTCAGTAGGGCACAGTTGCTGACATATATTTCAGTTTACAATATCGCATCGCCATCTTTGTACAAGTGTACATAGATGGATCTCTTGTTATTAGCTCCTGAATGTGTGCAAGTGTTGGATGGGTTGAGACAAGGTGAGACAGACAACCAACAGAAACTCATTCATCAAACTTCAGGCTCCAACCCTGTCCACCTCGGGCCATCACATCTGAGATCTGACTCACGTCTCTTCTTCATTTCATCATTAAAGTAGGGCGAAAATCACAATGGCTTGGACTTTTTTTGTTGTTGTGTCGACAACAACAAAAATGTTGAATTCTATTATTGCCGATAAATCTATTTGTATTCCGCAGAGTTTTATTTGGCATGCCTGTGAAGGGTGTGTTCTCAGAGCAAAAGGTGCTGTGTCCCAGCTTGTCTAAATCTGTTGCACTTGCACCATATTAGATAATATACTTCAATTCAAAGAAGTCCCACAGCTACAGTTTGACCAAATGCTTGTTGATGCAGAACCTGTGTGGGAAGCAAGCTAAATACAAACAAGCTGCTTTAATGAAGGTACTTAACAGATTTGACACTACAATGTTTTTGCTTCTCAAGTGCTTTAGCTGTTAAATGTTAGAACTGTAACAGATTCTGTGGATTTTGAGCAGCCTGCTATTTCCCCTTTTAAACGTGGGACGAAAAGCTAATTTATCACCTTTCCTTGGGATCTTATCGTACCATCTCCAGCCATAAACTAACACTTGCACAGGACTTCAAAGGTGCGCTAGGTAGCAGAGGTGAGAAAGAGGCCTACATCCACTTGGGGCTAGTTCCTCCCAGAGATGAGATGGAGCTGATTAGCAGGAGTGTGCAGCGAGCCCCGTGGGGGCAGCAGCTGGAGGAGCGCTCCCCACGGGAGAAGGGAGAGGTGCGAGATTTGACAGCTTCTGTCTCTCCCCTCTGGATACTGCAGGGTCGGGGCACCCTCAGCAGGCCCGGGCTCTGCACTGGATAGGAAGTCAGCAGTAATTGCCATTCAGCCAGTGGGACAGAAGCAGGGCCAACAATAACCAGCGAAGAACACACAGCCTGTTTCCTCTTTGTCTTGATGTGTTTGAGGAAGGATGCTACCTCCTCTCGGACAGAACAAAGCCGCAATAAAGTTCCCACAATCAAACGCAATCTTGCAGAAGTTGCAGAGGAGGACGCATCATTCGGGCATAGCGGCGCAATTGGAGTCTTCTCCTACACCGGAGGAGGCCCACACGGCTGCTTATTGCATAACAAGGCTGCATTGTTTTGTTAATGTAACTTCATCTGTCTTTGATCTAATCTCATGTTGTCATGGCCAGTGTGAAAATCCCTATCAAGTGCATGATCCAGCACTATGCTCATTGTGATTGTGATAATCTCCTGCATTGAAATTCCACTTTGTTCCTTTGTTTCTTTGTTAGCGAACACAATGTGAGGTTAATTAGCAGCCACTGGTAACCTCTGCGTTCCTGCATCCTTCATCACAGCTGAAGTGTACTCTTCACTGGAGCCGCTGGCACTAACAAGACCAAACACAAGGCCTTGGGCCAATTCAAAGTAAGCAGAATACAAACGCAGCAGCAACTTAATCCCTTTCAGACTAAAACACAGGCCCCAAAAGTATCAACTGTAATTGGTTTTTCCATGTCATTAATTGCTCTCATCATTGTTTCCTTTCTTGGACTGAAAACACACAGAGGAGGAATTGACTAAACCAGCATTGCATCAAGTTATATTTGCAGAACAGGGTTGCAGTGATCACATTTGTCAAACATTAAAAGGCATTTAATGTGGTTATTATCTGATTCCAATGTGTCACAGTGTAATGTTCTGTTTCTTCTGTGGTGCAGAAGCTCTCAGCACAGCGCATTTATCTGTAATATTGCCCTTCCGCCACTTCAGATCTCCCCATTCCCTGGTGGTCTAATTTATGTTAAGTCACAAACCTCCCCTATGGCTGTTTTGAAATGTTCAGAATGGAGACTGTGTGCTCCAGGTTTATGCCAGCACCACAATCCCCTGTATAATTGTTCTCTATGGGAAAGCACATCTCAGTGAAACCATCTGCAAGTCCATGGGGCAGTTTCCTAAGAATGAGTGGACTTCTTAGGGGGTTCCACTGCAATCCAGTTTCTCTTGTGAAGCAAGTAATTAATTCAAATCTCAGGAAGTCAATAGCTGCCTGGATCAGAGGCACGTAGCACACAGCTGCTGATACCTCCGAACCAACACATTCTCACTGCTTGTCTTCTCAGGAAGTCGCCAAACAAAAAGGTCACAATGGGCGCACACACCCATACAAGGCCAAGATAACACTCGCTTTAAACTGTGATTTTTGTGTACTCTCATCATGCGGCGCACACTTCATTAATCAAAATTGTAGCGACGATAAAGTCACCAATACTCTTAGGAAATGGGTTCTTTATGAATGATGTAATGTACTGTCATTAAATAAGCTTTCAAGGTTCTGTGGTCCCTCTAGCTACAATTATTTTATCCAACGTTGAATCGTTTTTTCTTGAAATTAAAATAAAGAAAACATGCCACGGACTATTTTCCATTGTACTAAACACTGATTTAACTTGACAAGGTCTTAGTTTCCCCATATAGTTGATATGGTATCTTCATATAGAGTTAAGTTTTCCAACATTCTGTGCAAAGAAGCCCAAGTTATTGTGTCCGCTTTCGTGATGATGCGCTGAAAGAATTGTTCCTCTCTTTTTCTACTTTTTTTGGGTCATTAAATTCATTAGCTAAAGCGTAGAGTGATGAAATATGGTGAAAGAGCCAGGGCAGCACAAATGAACATCACTTGCTTGC